AAAAGGAACAAATGTTTTCATACTGCTTACGGAATACAAAGAGATCGAAAATATATCCAGATCCAGAAAAATTTGATCCCATGAGACACGCTCCAGAAGAAAAATCTAAAAGAGAAAATATAAGTGCTTTGTATTTTGGTGAAGGACCGAGAATATGTATTGGTATGATTGTAAAATTTTTTTTTCTCTCTCTCTCTCTCTCTTTTAATTTTTATTAAAATTTTTCTTTACTTACAGGTAACAGATTTGGTTTTTTTCAAGTCAAAGTTGGACTTTTAACACTTCTTTCTTCTTATCGTGTTTCCCCATGTGAAAAAACTCCTTCTCAATTGAAATTTAACGTTGGAAGCTTAGTTTTGACTGTTGAAGGTGGAATGCATTTAAATTTTAAAAAAAGATAAATTCCTAAAAGTAAAAGAAAAATATTAATTATTAACATCAATATAAAAAGTATTAAATAATTTCAATTTAAAGAAAATGTGAAAAATTTTCATACCATATTTATTTTGTACAAAATACTAAATTGTTTTTGTTTGTTTTTTTCATTTTGATTGTCATTTACAAAAAAAAAAAAAAAAAAAAAAACGTTAATCCGTTCTTAAGGATTTTCTGTTTTGCGTTTTAAAAAAAAAAAAAAAAAACCAGTTTTATCTATTTGTTATAACTTTGCAAAATAACATTAATAATAATAATAATAACTTATCCGGTTTATCAACAAAAAAAACAAATAAATTTGAATTTGTTTCAAGGACGATAACAATTTTACGCAAAATTTGCCTGCGAAACTGACCTTTGTTAAAAACAACTTTTTTTTTTTTTAATCAAATGCGTAAAATTAATTTTTCTAATGTAGTTTTAAAATCAGTTTGAATTTATCAATTTCTGTGATTGTTTGTTTGTTTGTTTTTTATTACGATAAAAATGTCTTATTTTTGGTTCGAATTATTTTTTGCTATATTTTTGGGTATTTTGGCTTATTACGCATACTTTAAACTTTACATTTCAAAATATTGGAAAAATCATAACGTATTTCATGCAGAACCAATTTTTATCGTTGGTAATACTTACAATGCATCGATAACAAAAAATCTATGGGAAGTTATCAATGATTTTTATTTTAAATGGAAAGAAAAAAAATTAATTGGAATTTGGAGTTTTTCATCTCCCGTTTTAGTACCCACGGATTTAACGATTATAAAAAATATACTTATTAAGGATTTCGATCATTTTCAAAATCATGGGCCATTACCAAACATAGATAGAGA